AAAGTCTGTACTGTGAAGGAGGCGAAGGATCTGGACATTTGGCACAAGCGCTTGGGTCATCCCTCCTACACCACTGTCAACACTTTTCTCCATTTACCCAAAAATACCAATATCCCTGATTCCCCTTGTGATGTGTGTTTTCGTTCAAAACAATGTCGTGACTCTTTCCCAATTAGTTTGAATAAATCCATTACTCCTTTTTCCTTGATTCATTATGATTTATGGGGTGGGTACCGTACTCCGTCTCGCACTGGGGCTAGATATTTCTTAACTATTGTTGATGATTTTTCTCGGGCAACATGGGTGTATCTATTAAATCACAAATATGAAGTTCCTACTGTCTTGCGTAATTTCTTTTCCATGATTGAGCGACAATTCAATAAACAAGTGAAAACTGTACGAATTGACAATGGTACAGAGTTCACTTGTTTAAAATCTTTCTTTGACAATCATGGGATTATTTTTGAATCCTCTTACGTCGGTACCCCACAACAAAATGGTCGAGTCGAACGAAAACACCGTCACATTCTCAACATTGCCAGAGCCCTTCGCTTTCAAGCCAACCTACCTCTTAAATTCTGGGGTGATTGTATTCTAACCGCTGCGTATCTAATTAACCGAACACCCTCTGAGCTACACAAAGGCAAAACCCCATATTCCATGATCTATGAAAAAACCCCCTCATATAGTCATATCCGGGTTTTCGGATGTCTTGCTTATGCCCACAATCAATCCCACCATGGAGACAAATTTGAGTCCCGTTCTCGACGCTGCATGTTCCTTGGCTATCCATTTGGCCAAAAAGGATGGCGCCTTCTCGATTTGGACAATAATAAAATATTTTTCAGCCGAGATGTCAAGTTCTTTGAAAACCATTTTCCCTTCCATTCACAAAATACCCCCAATCTCACAGAACCTGAACCCACTGCTGATTTTTTTGAGGAAGAAATACGCAGTGAAGAATCAGCCACCTAGACGGTCGAAACACTGGACCGTTCTCAGGACCCCGGTCGACCGTTGCTCCAATCCAATCCAGAAAACCCTGCAACATCAGAACCAAACAGCCAACCCAATGACCCAGTCCAACCTTTTTCTGCCCTTGATAACCAAACCCTTCCAACCCAAGACACTTTGCGCCGAAGTGAAAGAGAACGTCGTCCTCCTTCGCGACTGCGTGACTTTGTCACTCACACCATTCAACGTCCCTCTCCTGATTCACTCAAACCAACAACACCTTCAGGTACAGCACATTGTATTACAAATTTTATTAACGCTGACAAATTTTCTGTTTCCCATAGATGTTTTTTGGCAGCTATAAGTGCAGATGTTGAGCCTACATTCTTTTCTGAGGCGGTAAAAAATCCGCTATGGGTACAAGCTATGAAGGAAGAAATTCAGGCGTTGGAAGCTAATGGTACTTGGTCACTCGTCCCCTTGCCTCCAGGAAGGAAAACAATTGGATCTAAGTGGGTCTACAAAATCAGGCACAAGTCTGATGGTAGCATTAAACGCTACAAAGCTCGTTTGGTAGTGCTTGGCAATCGTCAGAAAGAGGGAATTGATTTTAAAGAAACTTTTGCACCAACAGCTAAATTGGTTACCGTTCGCACTCTCTTAGCTGTTGCCGCTACCCGGAATTGGTTCTTACATCAGATGGACGTTCATAATGCATTTCTTCATGGAGACCTTCGCGATGAAATATACATGACTCTTCCCCCCGGGTTTGCCTCTCGCGGTAAAGGATTGGTTTGCCGTCTTCATAAATCTCTCTATGGTCTTCGACAGGCTCCACGTTGTTGGTTTGCTAAACTCACCTCTGCATTAAAACACTTTGGGTTCCATCAATCCAAGGCTGATTATTCTCTGTTTACTCTTTTGCGCGGCACCATCGAGCTCCGTGTGCTGGTGTATGTGGATGATCTTGTGATCGCAGGAAATGATGAAGGCTTCATTGGCAAATTTAAACGGTATCTATCTGATTGCTTCCATATGAAGGACCTTGGTCTCTTAAAATATTTTTTGGGCGTTGAGGTTGCCCGTAATTCGAAAGGGATTTTCATATGCCAGCGCAAATATGCTCTGGATATACTTTGTGAGACTGGATTTCTGGGTGCTCGTCCGGCTTCCACTCCCCTTCCTCAGAATCAACGACTGGCTCTAGCGTGTGGCCCGCTTCTCACCAACCCAGAGCGTTATCGCAGACTTGTGGGGCGCCTCATTTATCTCACGATCAGTCGTCCTGACTTGGCTTATG